GCCCGCCCTGCGGCCTGCGGGCACCGCCCTGCCCAGGCCACGGGAAGCCAGCGTGTTCTCGCCTGGGGCTGGGGGTGGCCCTGGCCGCAGGGCTCGCCTGGGCCCTGCAGGCGAGGTGGGTGCAGGCGGACGCCAGGTCAGCACGCCAGCTGCAATGCCCAGTGCAGGTCCTGATGATCGGGGCCGTGGGCAGAGGGCATGTTCTGGGTGAGGGTGCCCGGTGTGGGGCCGGCAAGTGTCGCCTGAGGAGCGCTGGTCCCAGGGGCGAGGCGCCTTCGCCTGGTCTGCGCCCCGCTAGTGGGCACGCCGGGGGGCCCGGATGACACGGGCCCCTCGGGCCAGCGGGGCCGGTGATGGAGGCCGGCCCGCCCCCAGGGCGTCTCCAAAGCCCCTGCGGTCACTGTCAGCGGTGCAGGCCAGGCCTGACCTGCACTCGGACCCAGGGGCTGGCCCTCAGGGCCCAGCAGAGGCTGCTGGAGCTCCTGGGCGCCCAGCAGGTGACCCCCTGTGGCCAGGGCCAGGTGAGCCCCAGCTGCCTGGGAGGACATGAGGTCCCGCACCCGGCTGGAGGACGCTGGGCCTCGTGCGGGCCTGAAGCGGGCGCCGGGCCTGGCCCTCGTGTCTGCGACCGTGAAGGGCACCTGGTGGTGGCCGCCAGCCAGGACCGGGCTCTCTTCTGCGTCACCCCTGGGGCTCTCCACCCCAGCACCCCCTCCCCGGCCCACGCTCGCTCGCCGCGCCCAGCCCACAGGGGCTCCCGCCCAGCCGCCCCACCTACCTGTCCGTGTGCCCCCCCTGTGTGGCCCCATCCGGGCCCTGCCCGCCGGGGGACCCTCAGCGCCATCTCCCCCGGGGCCCAGGTGGGGGCAAGACTCAGGACTTCAAGGACACAACAGGGAGTCTTTATTGCCCCCCTCGGGGATGGCCGAGCTGGGGCTCCCCCCTCCCCGCCAGCCCTCCCCCGCGGCCCTCCCCCACCCGATCCTGCTGTCTGGGCCAGCTCAGCCCGGAGGCGCAGGTGCCGCCCGGGGGCATGGAGGGGCCCAGAGGCCCCGTGCCCATGCGAGCTTCGGGCAGGGAGGAGGTGCGGGCGGCTGGGCGGGCTCCCCGAGTCGCCAGCTCTCGAAGAAGGCGCCGGGCC